TGTTGATTAAGTGATATGAAACAATTATTCTGGTGAAGAAAGTACTATTCAACACACAAATATAATTTTAACCACACCCTTCAAATTATATGTAAAATTTCCTTCTTGTCAAATTATTTTCATACATAAAACTTGTAAAATATACAAAACAAACAAACCTGTTTTCCTATTGAACATTTTCAATCAAATTAAAATTTCCTGACAATTTTTCAATTTTTACATGTACATGTACATTATTTATAAAACATGTGATACAATTTTTGGGGAAGTATTAAAAGATAGAACAGACACTGTAACTTGATGTTTAATGGATTTTCTTTATGCAACATTTTATAATAATATCAATTATTCAACCGATATTGACTACTAAAGCTGATCATAAGTTATTAAAATCTAATATATATGTATCATTTAAACAACAAACATTTATTAACAAAATATATGTTCTTTGTATCTTTGTGTGTTTCATTTGGAGGTGTATAAATCCCCTGATGTTTCATTCAGAGGTGTATAAATTTCCAGAGTGTTTCATTCAAAGGTGTATAAATCTCCCAAGTGTTTCATTCAGAGGTGTATAAATCATTTAGAGGTGTATTAATCTCAAGAGTGTTTCATTCAGAAGTGTATAAATCCCAAGAGTGTTTCATTCAGAGGTGTATAAATCCCCCAAGTGTTTCATTCAGAGGTGTATAAATCCCCAGAGTGTTTCATTCGGAGGTGAATAAATCATTTAGATGTGTATAAATCTCCCAAGTGTTTCATTCAGAGGTGTATAAATCTCCAAAGTGTTTCATTCAGAGGTGTATAAATTTCCAGAGTGTTTCATTCAGAAGTTTATAAATCCCCAGAGTGTTTCATTTAGAGGTGTATAAATCTCCCAAGTGTTTCATTCAGAGGTGTATAAATCCCCAGAGTGTTTCATTCAGAAGTGTATAAATCTCCAGAGTGTTTCATTCAGAGGTGTATAAATCTCCAAAGTGTTTCATTCAGAAGTGTATAAATTTCCAGAGTATTTCATTCAGAGGTTTATAAATCCCCAGAGTGTTTCATTCAGAGGTGTATAAATCACCAAAGTGTTTCATTCAGAAGTGTATAAATCCCCAGAGTGTTTCATTCAGAGGTGTATATTTTATCAGTTGTCCAACAAATAGAAAATATTGGATTGATTGATTGCTGTTGGTTTAATATCTAGTGGCAAATATTTCATCCATATTCAGGATAAGAAAGTATTATAGTAAAATTATTTTGCAAGAATCATCTGTGCACTAAATGTGGGTCGTAATAATCAAACTGTTCAATAACTTTGTAAAAGTGTTATACCAATTTCACTCTCATCTATTGTTTTGTTGATTGCAACTAAAAGAAAGCATCTTCATCTGCTCAAAAATCATTATCCATCTGTATTTTGAAAACATCTGCGACTCATTTCACAAAAAATCTGATGAGAAAATTACTTGCAAGTCATGAATATTTAAGTAAAACTAACTTACAATTAATTTTCATCTTAAGATTTTTTATGAAAAGAGCCCTGGAACTCCTGGGCAAGACTTATAGATTGTGTTAAAAAACCCAAATGTTAGTACGAGACAGCCTGGCCACCTTGCTTCATTATACTAAGACTAGTATCCAAATGTAAATATTAGACTGCCTGGCCACCTTGCTTCATTATACTAGGACTGGTACCCAAATGTAAATATCAGATTGCCTGGCCACCTTGCTTCATTATACTAGGACTGGTACCCAAATGTAAGTATTAGATAGACTGCTTGGCCACCTTGCTGACCACCTTGCTTCATTTTACGAGAACTGGTACCCAAATGTAAGTGTGAGACTGCCTGGCCACCTTGCTTCATTATACTAAGACTGGTACTCAAATATTGGTGTGAGACTGTCTGGCCACCTTGCTTCATTATACTAGGACTGGTACCCAAATGTTAGTGTGAGACTGCCTGGTCACCTTGATTCATTATATAAGGACTGGTACCCAAATGTTAGTGTGAGACTGCCTGGTCACCTTGATTCATTATACTAGGACTGGTACCCAAATGTTAGTGTGATACTGCCTGACCACCATGTTTCATTATAATTGGATTAGTTAGTCTTATCACAAAATTTTAAAAAAAAATAACCACTCAAGACAAATGTAGGGAAAGACAGAATTTTGTCAAAGGACACATGTATAAGTCCGTTTGGCAGTATTTAGAGGTGTACTTTCAAAGCAGATGTTACCTTTTGAATGGATCAAACATAAGATATTTTCTTGCATAGCCTAACAGATGTAATGTTTCATTTTTTGTTGCCCAACCTAAATGATATAATATTTCATTTTTTCTTCATTGATTGTCAATAATTGCTGGATGAATTCATTTGAACAATAACGCATATTGCTTACATGATTAAGGATTCAATACATGCTGATGTATACACATACACCTGTTGTCGTAATTTTATCTTTTTCTTGTTAATAAGCCAGTAAATGACAATAAGGTAAACCAGATTGCCTTTTGTATTATTTCAATTACATCTGATAGAAAGAATAAACCTTCAAAAATTACAATGCAAGAAAGGGAATACAAGTATTGTGCATTAGCTATGTGTCTGTTTCCTAGGAACCATAAAATGTGTCATATCAATCTAATATCCACATTGGTCAATGAAAACAAGGTGCATACATACTTTAAATACAACAGTCAGGGCTTCAAAAGCTTTAGTGGTATGGGACCAAAGTTTATCCAGGAGACACAAATTTTTCAATAATAGATGACTACATAAATGATATATTATAAGAAGTATGAACAAGACTGCACACTCTGAAATGTCTTGCCTACTTTACTGATTATGATTAACTTTATGTTAAAAGTCTTTAAGATAAAGGTTTTACTAAGGGCATCACATAAACTTAACATTAACAATGACCCATGTAAATGAGGACTAGGTCAAATGAACTCTGACTAAGGGACATGTACCATTGACAATTATTGAATACACCAAAAATAGTTAACCTTTTGCTTATAGAAACCAAACAAACCACGAAAACTTAACATTCACATATGAAATTTGAGTCAAGGTCAGATGAACCTTGGATATAAGATATGAACAACTTTCAATCATTCCATATACCAAATATAGTTGACCATTTACTTATAGTATCTGAGAAATGGACCAAACCTAGAAAACTTAATATTGACCAATGAACCATGAAAATGAGGTCATGGATAGATAACTACCTATCAGACAGTTGTGTACATGAACACCTTACGATCCTTCCATACACCAAATATAACTGACCTACTGCTTAAAGTATCTGAGAAACAGACCTAATCACATAACATATTAACCTTGATCACTGATCAATGAAATGAGATCAAAGTCAGGTGAACCCTGTCTGATAGATGATGTAGACATTGAAAAAGGATCCCAAATACCAATTGACAGATGGAAACTTTGTAACATAAGGGATCTTTATACAAGGTATGGAGCATCAAGGTCTTCTACCTTCTGAAATATACAGCTTAATACAAATAGTTTATGCCACTGCTGGATTAGCATCTATGTTATAATGTGTCTCCCATTCTGCAACTTTCATAGCAGGTGAGACAATAATTTCAGGTGGTACCAAAATAAATCTAAGAGTAAAATTTTGAAACATCTGAACTGGTAGAACAACAATTAAGAGAAGCATTATGTTATTTTTTCTAAAGTCTTTTAAAATATAACAAAATCATTCAGGTGGCACATCATGCTTGATTGCAAATACCCTAAAAAACTGACCAATGAATCCAGTTTAGAAAAAATTAAACCCCACAATTTTCTTTTAAATTTCTGACATTAACAATTCATTACCATATTTTCTGACAATTCATATGTAAGACTTTTTTTTTATTATTGAATGAGTCTTTAAATCATAATTATTTTGTTTGTCACACTCTGTTGAGATATAAAAATAAGAAAATGTGGCCTAATTGCCAATAATACAACTATCCATCACATGACCATAGACTTATATATGGCCGTACTTTGACCTATAATGGTTTACTTTTACTAATTGTGACTTGGATGGAGAGTTGTCTCATTGGCACTCATACCACATCTTCTTATATCTATTTATTCTCGAGTTATTTTCCAGAAACCAGAAAATCCAAGTTCTTTGGCCCCTAATTTCTTTACGGTTTGAGCCATAACCTTCAAAATCAATCCCAACCTTCTTTTTGAGATATGGAACCTTGTGGTACAATTTCATAGAGATCCATACCCTTATTGTCCTGAAACACGAAAAATGCTTGTTTTTAGCCACTAATTCCTAAACAGTTAGGACAATAACCCCAAAAATCAATCCCAACTTTCCTTTTGTGGTATGGAACCTTGTGGTACAATTTCATAAAGATCCATACACTTATTCTCACATTATTGTCTGGAAAACCAAATGTCATCTGACAACAATAACGACTACAACACTAACAACATCATAACATTATATGAAAACTATCCATCAGAGTCCAAAATGATGTGGATGCAAGTAACTTCAGTTGAGCAAAACAAATAACAAACATTCACTTGTTAACTATATTTTATTCTAACAAACACTTTTTTTCTCATTCTCACAAACACAATTTTTTGGTCCTCACAAACACTATTTTCCCTGCATGAAATTTTTTATTTTACATATATGCTGGACACAGTATCCTAATTTTTCTAAGAAGTGAATAGAATAGGCTGAGTTTAATTTCCTCTACAATTCTAAATATTCAGATACATTTTATATCTATGACCATAATTCATTAACAAAACTTAAACCGTTAAAAGAATAAATGGATTTAATTTTCTCAAAGTTTAAAAAAAAGTATTTAATGTATGAAACAGGAACATGAGATGTGTTTTACAGCTGCATTATTATCTTCTGTTATAGAATTAGATGAGGAAACACAATTGAATGTCTAAAGTAAATGAGTAATACCCTAATATAAAACATGGAAACCTAATGAAATACATACTTGACTAACCTTGTTGTCCCATACCTGGGGTGCCCTGCATTGCCAGATTCTGCAGGGCATTAATGGGGTCTTGCATGCCGACCTGAGGCATTCCACCAGGTGCTGCTCTTCTTTCTCTTTGAGAATCTGTCAAAATACAAGGTAAATCAGACTGAGAAACAATCATCATGTTTTATCAATCTCTGGCCTTCACATCAAGTGTAATTTGTTTCTACACAAATCTTTCTTAACAAACTTTTTCATTGATTTTTACATTTTCATCAAAACAATGCTTTCAAAACATTAATTTTCTAATTTTCGTAACTGTGAATGATTGGCAGTATCATGCTTTGCCAATTTTAACAAACAAAACTATTTTATATTTTCTAAAAACAATCTCTCATTTATCAAGTGTTTATAGATTTCCAGCTCTGCATTCTGATAAATTTATAGAACCTGTAAAATACTTTTTTCTTAGGTTAAATGCAATGTTTTTAACTGTCAAGGTTTCTTTTATATTGGTACATTTTCATGAGGCATTGTGTTCTTCATTTATAAAATTGTCTTATGTAATTGATTAATAAAAAGAAGTGGACATTTCAACTTTTTTCAAAGATTTCCTTATCAATTCTATTTAGTTGCAGGGCAACACAGTATTTAGACTGTTTACCCAGCAGTGATCTGATGACAGCCTGCTTTCATTTAAATACATGTTGACTGGCTTCTTACAGTTTGCCCTTTAAGTATAAGAAACCAGCTGTTTAAATATTCTCAAACCAAGACAAATTGTATTACTTTTTGTATTAAAAAAAACAAAACAAAAAAGAAAGCTTTGCTTATATTAAATCTCCCAAAAACTAAAAAATATATTTATGTCAAATCAATATGTGCTTTTATTGAAATTACAACTAATACAATATTTCATCACTAAACATGAACAAATTCCTGTTTTACTGTGTGTCCTTATCTATGGAGAAGGTATGGATCACCAGTTTAAAAAAGAGTGAACAGAATGGTCCATTTAGGGCTGCTATTATAAAGAATGGTCAATGTAGGGATGCTATTATAAAGAATGGTCAATGTAGGGCTGCTATTATAAAGAATGGTCAATGTAGGGCTGATGATAAAAAGAATGGTCCATTTAGGGCAGCTATCATAAAGAATGGTCCATTTAGGGTTGCTATTATAAAGAATGGTCCATTTAGGGCTGCTATTATAAAGAATGGTCCATTTAGGGCTGCTAACATAAAGAATGATCCATTTAGGGCTGCTAATACATTAAGAATGATCCATTTAGGGATGCTATTATAAAGCATGTAGGATAAACATTAATGCTACAAAAATCTAACAACAAAGGCATACAAAAAAATGGACATGATAAAGTTATTGGTCGTTCCTTCGTTATTGTTTTAACTATTAAAATTCATAGCTAAAAATACTTTGTCATCATAAAAGGTCAAACCACATGTATAGCATTATTATGATGTAACTTATCAATTTCAATGATCTTTTCCGAACAAAATACAATTGCTTTAGGCTAAATTACTTTTGATGTTGTCTCTTGACTATATATAGAGTGTACCAAAAGGGGTGTTGGGTTGAACATTTCAAGAAAACAAAATCTTAATTCTATTTTTCTTTCATGATTACCACACCTTCATTATAGGATCAGGCTTTCATGCTTCAAGAAAAAATAATAGTAAAGCTTTCATTTCAGTCTGTACCAAATACATATGTTTTAGGATAAAACCTTCCTACTTTATTTAATCTAACCCAGATAATAAATTCAATAAAACAATATTGTTCTGCCAACAGTCTTTGTTCAAATTTGTCTATCAGACAAACATTACAAATGTAGAACATGTTGTATTTAATCATTTAATGACATTCAACTTCCGAGCAGGGTTCATACTAATGGTGGAAAAATATAATCAAGTTTATATGATGCATAGGTGGCTTTGATGCAAGGCAAAGTTTTAGCCCCTATTAAACAATACTCGTTTTTCAGTCTCAGTAATTATAACTACTTAAGGCCAGATTGAGGACTTAAATCAGTGTCACAAACTCATACTGGTAACTGTGAATATGGACTCATTTATTATATCACAAGTTAAACGAGTGGAGTGTCAGATAATTAATAAGACAGAAATATCTTAATACGGTATAATAAAATGCTTTGCTGAGTGCAGCCTGATACGACCGCAGAGATCAAAACCCTGAACAGTTGGTACAAATTTGGACACAATATTCAAGCTTGATACTGTCTGAATTTGGATTGTGATCAAATTTTTGACATAATATAGATTTGACACAAAATAAATGTGGTCAAAGATCTTACAAATCTATTGCGCAATACTGTGCAATTGAAGATTTCTTCTTGAAACTTTTCAAAAATTCAAAATTTGAAAAATTTTGAAAATAAAATTTGAATCCTCTAAAAAGATTGGGGAAAAAAATCCCCCCCCCCCCCCCCCCAACTTTTTGAAACCCCCCTTGGAGCAATAACCCCCAAACTCGATCCCAGCCTTTCCTTTGTAGTATGGAGCCTTGTAGTACAATTTCAGATAGATCCATACACTTAAACACAAGTTATTGTCTGGAAACTAGAAAAATGCTTGTTTTTGGCCCTTTTTTGGACCCTAATTCCTACATATTTGGGCAACTAACCCCAAACTCAATCCTAGCCTTCCCTTTGTGATATGGAACCTTGTGGTACAATGTCAGAGAGATCCATACACTTACACACAAGTTATTGTCCTGAAACTAGAAAAATGCTTGTTTTTTTGCCCTTTTATGGCCCCTAATTACTAAAATTTTGAGGGAATTGCCCTCCTTTTTGGCCCCTAATTCCTAAAATTTGGAGGCAATTACCCCCAAAATCAATCCCAGCATTCCCTTTGTGATATGGAACCTTGTGATACAATGTCAGAGAGATTCATACACTTACACACAAGTTATTGTCATGAAACTAGAAAAATGCTTGTTTTTTGCCCCCTTTTTGGCCCTTAATTTCTAAAATTTGGAGGCAATTACCCCCAAAATCAATCCCAGCATTCCCTTTGTGATATGGAACCTTGTGATACAATGTCAAAGAGATCCATACACTTACACACAAGTTATGTCTGGAAGTTTCAAAAATGCTTATTTTTGGCCCCTTTTTGGCCCCTAATTCCTTAACTGTGGGTACCATAACCCCCAAAATCAATCCCCACCTTCCTTTTGTGGTATTGAACCTTATGGTAAAATTTCATTGAGATCCATTCACTTAAACTAAAGTTAGAGTGCGAAAACTAATGTGTCTTCACACGACGACAACAACGACGACAACAACGCCAACGTCATACCAATATACGACCACAAAAATTTTTCTGCGGTCGTATAAAAATAAGGAGATGTAGTATGATTGACACTGAGATAACATTTCACACAAGAAAAATAAAGGAAGTGAACAACTACAAGTCACCATATAGGCTTCAACAATGAGTAAAACCCATACTGTGTAGTGATGTAGGCTTCAACAATAAGTAAAACCCATTCTGTTTAGTGATGTAGGCTTCATCAATGAGTAAATCCCATACTGCATAGTGATGGAGTCTTCAACAATGGGCAAAACCCTTTCTGTATAGTGATGTAGGCTTCATTAATGAGTAAAACCCATACTGTGTAGTGATGTAGGCTTCATCAATGAGTAAAACCCATACTGTATAGTGATGTAGGCTTCATCAATGAGTATAACTCATACTGTGTAGTGATGTAGGCTTCATCAATGAGTAAAACACATACTGTGTAGTGATGTAGGCTTCAACAATGAGTAAAACCCATACTGTGTAGTGATGTAGGCTTCAACAATGAGTAAAACCCATACTGTGTAGTGATGTAGGCTTCATCAATGAGTAAAACCCATACTGTGTAGTGATGTAGGCTTCATCAATGAGTAAAACCCATACTGTATAGTGATGTAGGCTTCAACAATGAGTAAAACATATACTGTGTAGTGATGTAGGCTTCAACAATGAGTAAAACCCATACTGTATAGTGATGTAGGCTTCAACAATGAGTAAAACATATACTGTGTAGTGATGTAGGCTTCATCAATGAGTAAAACCCATACTGTGTAGTGATGTAGGCTTCATCAATGAGTAAAACCCATACTGTATAGTGATGTAGGCTTCAACAATGAGTAAAACATATACTGTGTAGTGATGTAGGCTTCATCAATGAGTAAAACCCATACTGTGTAGTGATGTAGGCTTCATCAATGAGTAAAACCCATACTGTATAGTGATGTAGGCTTCAACAATGAGTAAAACATATACTGTGTAGTGATGTAGGCTTCAACAATGAGTAAAACCCATACTGTTTAGTGGTGTAGGCTTCAACAACGAGTAAAACCCATACTGTGTAGTGATGTAGGCTTCAACAATGAGTAAAACCCATACTGTATAGTGACTGATTGACCATTACCTAAATATCCATGTTTTGATCAAATATTTTATTGTTGGGTTACTGTCTTATTGATGTCAACCACATACCTTTGTTTATATTGATTGTGATTTTGATTTGAATCAAAGTGTTAGTTATGATTAATATATATTATGATAAATACTATACTGTTTGGAAACTTTACATGAAACCAAGTGACAAAAGCTTGTGAATAAATTTCAACAGAATCTGATGTAAAATAAATTGCTTCGCCGAGCGCAGCTTGATACGTCCGCAGCGGTCCAACCCTGAACAGTTGGGGCAAAAATGGACGCAATAATCGCGCTTGATACAGGTCTGAATTTGGATTGTAATTAAATATTTGACATATGACAGGTTTCTGACACAGAATAACTGTAGTCAAAGAACTTAGAATTGGTTATATGATTTGAATTTATATTCAATTTTTTGCTTTTGTGCAATACACTTTGCTGTTGCGAAATGACCCCCCCTCCCCCCACAAAAAAAAATTAAATTTACCCCCCTCCTTTTTTTTTTGCTTTTGTGCAATACACTATGCTGTTGCGTTGCGTATTAACCAACCCCAACCCCCCCAACCCAACCCCACCACCACCACAACACACATTTTTTTTTTGCAAAAAAAATAATATTTGAAGAATTTTTCTTTTTAATTTCTGAAATCTGAAATGAGAAAAAATTGTTCA